GAAAACACCCAGTTGCTTTATTCCCCCCCAAAATACACCCGGTTGGGTGCTGGCATCGCACAGGGCCCAGCTGCCAGAGATCCCTTTGCAGGCAGGAGGCAGGGACCTGCAGGATTAGCCGCCTCTCCCGCCGGCGGGGAGGTTGCTGCCGAGGCACGGCACGGCGAGCGACGGTGTAATTGGTATGCTGCAGCTCACCTCCCTCTCCCGAGCCTGATACTCTCATCACACACAAAACTGCTCTTTGTCAGCCGCTGCCACCACCGGCGCTGCCTTTAACTCCTCCAGCCCCGGGGCTGGGTTTTCCTTAGCGATGCCAGGACCCGGCACCTGGCGGCAGAACCAGGATGGATAGGGCGATGCGCTGGGCGAGCAGCAGGACGGGACCCTCCATGCCTGCAGGGAGGGACCCACAAACCGCCGCCTGCCCAGCGCCCCCTTATTGATTACCTGCCAGCTCTTAGTTAAGAGAGGAATGAAACCTTCTGCGAACCCACCCATCGGCTGTGCCCCACCTGGGCTCTCCAGCACCGCTGCCCATCAGGGAGCTCCTCGTGGCACCCAGCTCAGATAAATCCTTCATTTTTAATCATTCACATGGCACCGGGGTTATCTGACCGCTGGGCCTTTCCCTGAGGGCATCCTTGCAGGACACCCTCCCAGAGCCACGCTTACGGAGGTGCAGGATGCGGCACCAGCTCCACCCTCCTTTCTTCACATGTCTGTGTCAGGACAAAGATTTAGGGAGGCACCGGTGAGAAGAGAGAGCGGAAACTCACAGGACCCGGGGCCAGCCCCTTCCAAACCCTTCCAACATCAGCCTCCTGCATCAAGCAACCGGTGGCAGGACGCTGAAGGCCGGAGGGTGGCTGTGACACCGGTCCCCATCCGGCAAAGGCATTGGGGGCCACAGCCCCCTTTCCTGCCCCTCCAATCACGCACTTGTCCTGGGGCGTGGCAAAACCAAAAGGCACATTCAGCCTGCCCTGTCACCCCCAAAGAGCGACGTCCCAACAGCAACAACGGGCTCCAAAACCAAACACACCATCGTCCCCTCCTCCTCCTCTTGGAGCCCCCTCGGAGCAGGCAGAGCCCCCGCACCTCCACGTTCACCCGCTGCCGCCCGCCTGGGCACTGAGTGCAGGCAGCAGGAAGGGGACACCCCAAACCCCCCCCCAACCCGGCAGCCCCAAGGGCACGTGTGCCACCACCGACAGCAAGTGCGCTGCCGACGGCCAACGCAATGGCGCCGAGAGCCCGTGTGACCACCGGCCGCACCCACCGGCTCCAGCCAAACCCGCTCTCTGTCCGCCCATGCCAGGAGCGGAGGACAGGACAGGTCAGTCCCCGGGGGACGCTTTCCAGGCGGAGATGCTCGTAGGGGAAAAGGCTTTGGGAGCTTTCTGCACCAGAGTCCTCCCGCCCG